CGCCCCCGGCTCCCGGGCCCAGCTCGGCCCCCCGCCCGCCCGGGGCTGACGGAGCCTGGCCGCCATGAGCGCCAACCCCCGGTGGGACATCAGCAGGGCGCTGCGGGTGGCCAGGCTCTTCCACCTGGTGTGCGGGGTCCGGGACGCCTGCGTGACTCCCTTCCTGGCTCTCTACCTGAGGCAGCTGGGCTTGGCCGCGCCCTGGGTGGGCATCCTGATGGCGACCAAGCACCTGATCGCGGCCCTCTGGGCTCCCTTCTGTGCCTTCCTGGCCAAAAGCTACCGGAGAAGGAGGGTGCTTCTGATGGGCTCGCTGCTCGGCTCGGTGGGAGCCAGCCTGTTGATGGTCCTGGTGCCGCCGCCGGACAAAGATCCGGGGTACCTCTCCTGTAACGCCAGCGACCGCGCCACCCCCACGGCCCTGCCACCGGCGGCCGCACGAACTGTGACCGTCGCCTCGGCCCGACTGCCCGCCTCGCGCCACGCGGCGGGGGCGCCCAGCCCCCCAGGCGGGAGCAGGACTGGGACGCTGGACGCCGCCGGCTTCAGAACGGCACCTGCGGGAAGCGGCCACCAATCATCCGGCCGGCCGCCTGGCTACGCCGTGCGCTCCGTGGAAGGAGCCAGGACCACGTCCCCAGCTCTCCATGCTGACACTTCAGGGGTGAAGGATACTCCTGGGGAAGGTGCTTTGAAGGCGGGCTGGACGGCCCTCCCTTTGCTTGCTGGGGGTACAGCCCCGGGAAGTCCGGCCAACTTATCGGCAGCCCAGGGGAATGCCCGGACCCTTGGCCTCTCCTTGGAAGGCTTGCGCTGGACTTTCCTCCTCTCCCTGGGGTCCCTGGTGTTCTGGGAGCTGCTGACAGCCCCTCTGGAGCAGGTGGCCGACGACAGCCTTTATGAATACCTGGATTTTGTGGACGCCACGGACCGCTACAGAAGCCTGTGGATCTGGAGGCTGTTGGGCATGTCGGCAGGTGTGTGTGGCATCTCGGCCCTGGTGGGGCAGCTGGAGTGCGTTCTGATGACAAATGGCCCCCGGGGTGTGTTGCATTTCTATGGCTACTCGCTGGTCAGCACTCTGGCTTTACTGGTGAGCATTGCCTTTCCCGTCCCCATCTGCAGGCGGCGGGAGCCCAGCTGCAGAATGGTCAAAGCGCTGTCCCTGGTGGGCGGCGACCCCCGGCTCATTCTCCTAGCCCTCACCGTGTTTCTGATAGGCGCGGCCACCAGCACGGTGCAGAACTTTCTGTTCTGGCACATGGAAGACCACGGGAGCAGCGAGCTGGTCATGGGTTTCTCGGTGGCCCTGGGCTTGCTGGGGGAAATTCTACTCCATCCGTGCAAAGCGACGCTGCTGAGGAAACTGTCGAGGGTGGGCACGGTGGGGCTGGGGCTGGGCTGCCTGGCAGCCCAGCTGCTTTATTACTCCTTCCTCTGGAGCTGGTGGTCGGTCCTCCCCGCTCAGATCTTGAGTGCCATCAGCAGTGGGGCCCTGTGGTGGGCCGTGAAGGCCTCCGTCGAGGACCTGGCCACTCCCGGGATGGAGAGACCTCTGGGTGCCATGTTCCGAGGCCACATTTATGGGGGAGGGTCCAGCCTGGGCAGCGTTGTGGGGGGCTTCGTGGCGTCGTCCTTCAGCCTGGCTGTGCTGTATCAGGCCTGCTGCGTGGTCCTGGTGCTCTGGCTGGCCCTGTTCCTGTCCATCCAGCCCAGACTGCCCCAAGAGCAGAAAATCAACTACTCGAAACTGCTGGTCATGGAGGCCAGTGACACGAGCGACTCTGAGCAGGGGATGGAGCGGGACTGGCTGGTGAAGGCCATGAGGGAGGAGTACTCAGAGTAGAAGGGCAGAGAGAAGGTCAAGATGCGCTGACCCAGGAAGGCGCCCGAGGGGCTGGACAGGAGCTCACCTGCTGAGGACAAACCCTGCGTCCTGCCCCAGGGCTGCAGGGGAGTCTGGAGAGAGAGAGAGTAAGTTTGTGCAGAATCCCCCCACACCCCCACCCCGGGGATCATCTCATTGCATGATTTTCTTTACTTTTACGGTAAAAGGAGATTTAACTTTTTGCTGTTCAGTCTTTTTTAAATAATGGACGAAGAATACATTTGCTTAAAAAGAAAAAAGTGCCCTTTGTATTCACCATGCTTTGGCGTCTAAGGTTTGCAAGAGCTTGATGCTACTGACTCTGGAACTGTTGATTTCAGCCACGGCTGGAGTGCTCAAACAGTGGGGACCCGCAGGATTCAGTTGGCAGAGGGGGCAGCTGGCTTTGTTTGGTGAGTCACGTGCGTTGCCATGGGTCCTAAAAGCAGGAGCCTGGTCCCATAGAGGCCATGCCGTGGGCAGGTAAGAATGGGAATGAAAACCAAGCAGGTGTCCACACTCATACCCAGGTACCTGGGTTTCCCGACCAGAGCCAATGCTACCCAGTGTACTCTGTGTTGGGGGAGCAGGGATTCAGGTTAATACGTTTTCAGTCTTCCTCTCGCATGTGTGTGTCACCGGGGGTATGATCCCTAGAATTGCCTTCCATACTTATATCCGAGCAAGGGCGGCTTCATGTCTTTGGGCACATACCATGC